AGGGAAAACTTCATATCCAGCAATGTGAAATAGAAATCACCTCTCTACAGACAGCCGCGATCATTCCTTCCTCCATTTGGCATTCCGTAACAACGTCGGTAAGAGAACCGCCAGCCAAATATTCCATCACTACCTGAAATGCATGAATAGTAAAGAATAGTAGTTTTGAGAATAGTATAGGAAATAAGAGTGTGAAATCAAACAGTGTGGTCAGGCAGCGTTCATACCAAGCGAAAGTTAAAAACTGAACAATTTAAGAATTGAAGTATATATGTACAGATAAATTTCCGCAATTCGTCAATTCTGCAATCCGCCGATTCTTCACTCTCGCAAGGTATGAACGCCACCTCATACTCTGTGACTCAGTCGCTGGCACCGTGCGCGTCGAGCGCCGCGAGCGACAAAATCGCTCATAGCGCGCGTGTCAAGGAATTGGGATCGTGGGTTTTGTAATCGGTTTGCACATTCCAACGCACCTTAACAGAGGAGTGCCCTCAATCGTGGTCGCTCGACACGCGCGCTAAAAGGGATTCAGTCGCTAGTAGCGCGCGTATTGAGCGCTACAAACGACTGAACCGTAAAGAGTGAACGAAACGGATATGACTCTTTAGCTGTGGATGCTGGCGTGTAAGGGGAGGATCGGTTTAGCGGGCAGAGCCAGCCCGGCTTCTGGTCAATCTGAGGCTTGGTGCACTTCAACAATTGGTGGTGAAAAGGCTGGCAAGGTGCCAAGCTTAGCCCTACCCCCATGACCTGCCAGCATCCACAACAATCAAGGCTGCACGTTATCAGAGATAAGAGTGTAAAGGATGGAGACGTTTGGCGGCAGTCATCCCCTATGGAGAAAAGGCTGGCGGTGTGCCATAATTAGCCCCCCTCACATGACCCGCCCGCATCCACAGCAATCAAGACTACGTTATCAGATAAGATAAAAAAAGTTCGGAGAACTCAAAGTATAAACCACCTTACCCAAAGTTCTTCTCCTACTAGATAGGAATCGAGGTAGTTAACAATATTGGCATGTTTATTTTCACGCATGACGAGAATTTCATTGATGAATGAGTTCTTTCTTCGGTTGATCCTTGAGGTTCATTTGCTTGATTGCAACCTCAGCACCTGTACTCATCTCCATTGCAGTGTACACTGATCCCGAGGCTCTGAAACGTGAAAATGTTAGCACAACTGCTCAACATCATCAATGCACTTTCAGCTGAGTCCTGACAAAATGAAAGCAAATGCATTCAAGCAAATGTGTTAATGAATGGTGAGCAATTCCTTGTAACATCGTGACGTAAGAAAAAAAAACAATTTCAGTGAATTAGTTGCACAACCCAATAATGAAAAGAAAGGAAGAAGTCTGGTATAAATGTGCAGAATTCGTAGCTACTCAAAAGTATTACTCAAAGGAAACGTTTCGGGACTGACGTGTAACATCATAGTCCCGCCATTGCTCGTAGCAGGGCATTTCCTAGCTACTTGACTTGGCAGGTACAGGCACAGAGAGGATAATCCACTTGAGAGACGCAGAGAAATTGAGAAATAGGAGAGAGTCGATATGCCGCAGCATTGTTTCTTTTCTTCTTCTTCTTCAGTTGGCACGATGGTTTCCTACTTAGCCTAAAATGCTAGTAGGGCGCTGTATAGTGGGGAAATGGCGAAAGAACGGAGTGAAACGGTCAAAATCCTGCGAAGAAAAAGCCTCCGTTCTCAGTGACTTGTAAATCGATTTCGGACGAGTTTCCCGTAGGCATCTTACCAATCACCGCTACCGAAGATACGGCTGCATATGTGTACCCATGTATGCATGCAGCATCACGGCCGCTTCATACCAATCCCTTCGCTTCATAATTTGCTTAGCAAATGAATGAATACGAGCGTCAGGAACGGTCGTCCATTTGTGGGCGGGCGGGCGTGGCGGGCGTTTGGGACGTAAAGTTGTGGCTTGATAGGGCCCTTATAAGGGCACCTTCCTCGGGGAAACCGCTATGCAGCGCCTGCCCAGGGTCGCGGAATTCTATCCTGCCAGGAGTATTGATCCTAGTCGCCTTGGGGGATTTATCGTGCCAACTGCCTTTAAGATGTCACAACTGCACCATTCGACTGCCAACTGGATTAGGCCTGTGCCGTAATGCGTTACTGCAACGCGCTTGCAACGCGTATTTCGTCACGCTTGTCCGGAAGTAATGCACCAGAATATTCGGAAAGAAAAACAGCAAAGACACTTGACTTTAATTCTCTTGCGGAGTTTTTGTTTTTGTGCCCCTTTATGCTGCATAACGTTGACGTTCCACCCCTTACCACAGATGGTTCGAAGTCTTGGTGCGGAAGGGCGGCTATCGGTTCGTCCTTCAGAAAAGGTGAGAGTTCCATTACCCTCCCAAACCATGGAGGTCAATGTCGGTTCCCTCGAGTAAATGAGTTTCGCTAGCGCGCCCGATTTTTGTGAAAAGAAAAGGTTAGTGTAAAAATGAAGGCAGATCGGTAACGAGGGAGGGATTTTGCAGTTTTGCTTATTCCCATCGACGTGACGACCCATCTAGAGAGCCATTTGTTGAGCTTACAAATGTTGACAGGATTCACTATGGCGGCTCAATGAGCTTGCTCCAGCTTCACAAAAGTTCACAGGTTAAACAAGAGTTGTAAACCCCAAGTAGTGAAGCAGCGAAAGTGCAAAATGCAC